AACAAATTTTATAGCCTTTCATCTCAGGATGCAACTTGCAAAGTATCAACATCCTGGGACCCATGGTTATTCAGAAGAGGTCGTTTAAAGATTTTAAACAAATTTGACCCCTGTGAGCTTGGATATGGGTGAAGGTCATTCATTTGAACAAACTTTGTAGCCCTTCATCTCAGCATGATAAATGATAAATATCAACATCCTGAGCCTTTTGGTTATTCAGAACAAGTTGTTTAAATATTTTGAACATATTTGCTCCTTGTGACCTTGACTATGATTCAAGGTCATACATTTAAACAAACTTGGTAGCCCATGATCTTAGTATGCTACTGACTAAATATCATCACCCTGGGAATTTTGGTTATTCAGAAGAAGTTGTTTAAAGTTTTTAACATATTTGACCCCTTTGACCTTGCATATGGGTGAGGGTCATTCAACTGAACAAACTTTGTAGCCCTTCATCTCAGCATGATATTGGCCAAATATCATCACCCTGGACATTTTGGTTATTGAAAAGAAGTTGTTTAAAGTTTTTAACATATTTGACCCTTGTGACCTTGAATATGGGTAAAGGTCATTCATTTGAACAAACTTTGTAGACCTTCATCTCAGCATGCTAATGGCCAAATATCATCACCCTGGGCATTTTGGTTATTCAGAAGAAGTTGTTTAAAGATTTTTTTTTAAAAAATTGACCCCTGTGACCTTGAATATAATTGAAGGTCATTCATTTGAACAAACTTGGTAGCCCTTCACCCAAACATGTTACTGGCCAAATATCATCTCCCTGGGCAGTTTGGTTATTCAGAAGTTGTTTGAAGGTTTTTTAAGACAATTGACCCCTGTGACCTTGAATATAATTGAAGGTCATTCATTTGAACAAACTTTGTAGCCCTTCATCTCAGCATCCTACTGGCCAAATATCATCACCTATGGCATTTTGGTTATTGAGAAGAAGTTGTTTAAAGTTTTCAACATATTTGACCCCTGTGACCTTGATTATGGGTGAAGGTCATTAATTTGAACAAACTTTGTAGCCCTTCATCCCAGTTTGCTTCTGGCCAAATATCGACACTCTAGGCCTTTCGGTTATTAAGAAGAAGTTGTTTAAAGTAAAATATTGACGCCGGACGACGGACAGACGACGGACGCCGCGCCACGGCATAAGCTCACTTGGCACTTCGTGCCAGGTGAGCTCATAAATGGTATCCGTTACTACCCAGAAAACCACTAATGGATATCAATGAAGTATGGGATTCCCATTACCCTCCTGAAAGTTACTATAGGATATACTGATATATGGTACATGTATCCCTGCTACCTCCAGAAAACCTTAACAGGATATCATATAGGATACAGCTTCCTAAAACCATTTCCCCTGTAACCACATGTCATATATTGATAACCCCACACCAACATACAATACAACTAAGGTATATAAGGTAGCATAAGATGTTCTCATCAAACTTATCTTTATAGTGCAACTTATGACGTGATATGTTTTATTAATTTTATCTTTTTAATGTTATTTCTGTGTTAGATTTTCTTGGGACTTGCATCAAAATATAACATGCTTCTTTCTTTAAACCTCAGTTGCCAAAATAATTTAAACAAGAGGCCCATGGGCCTTAACGGTCACCCGAGTTCTGATATATTTATACAGAGAGTTGATTTTTGTTTTTAAGACATGAACAGAAGTATTATTCAAAGTGACAAACAAGAGGCCCAGAGGGCCTGTATCGCTCACCTGAATATGTTTGAAATAATAGGTATGAAGTAGATATGAAATTTCAGAAAGATCCATACAGTACTTGAGATATAGTGAGAACAAACTTCAAACAGAGCCCCACCCCTAGGGGGGTCATACCCACCAATTATACAAAATTGAGTCCCCTTGACCCAAGGATGCTCCAGACTAAATAAGGATAAAATCCCATAATCCTGATGGTCGAAGAAGGATTTTAAAGGTTTT